TTATGTGGAAACCCTCTCTTGGAAGAACCCAAATCGCCTAAGTGTAGAGTGAAAAATGAGAGAAATGAGTTTGAGTTCGTATTAAATGAACCCTTCTTCCCCCAGTTATTTTCGCATCTGCGGAAGTATTTCCGCTTCTGCGGAATTTGGCCGCTTCTGCGGCTTTTGGGATTTGGGGCTCGACCGCTTCTGCGTATGGGGGCCGCATAGGCGGAACCGCTTCTGCGGTCCCTGGGCCGCTTTTGCGGTTTCCCCTGGCCTGCCCCTTCTCCGCTTCTGCGATCTAATGACCGCATCTGCGGTCCCGCTTCTGCGGTCCAAGAACCGCAGATGCGGTTATGATAGAAGCAGCAAGCTTCAGTCATTTTCCAAATTCTAACTTCACTCGAGCCTTGCTCGTTTGACGCTCGGGGCTCCCGTGCCCCGCCCGAACATACCGACAAGTCTGAAATCACGAGGCGGACCTACTCGAACCCTCGAAACACTCAAAACAATGCTAAATCGAGGAATCAACTTCAAAACCAAATGAATCAAATCATTGAACTTCAAGTTCTTAATTCTCCTCCAACGGGTCAAAACGCCCTTAGACTACTCGGATTGACACCAAATTTTACGGGTAAGTCTTAACTGATATTTCGGACTTGTAGCAAAGTTTCGGAATCGAAATCCGAACCCGATACCTAGGAAAACAATGATTTCTTAGTTTATTTAAACCTTTGAAACTTTAACTTAACAATTTCACATAAAAATTCATTACTCGGGCTAGGGACCTCGGAATTCGATTCCGGGCATACGCCCGGGTCCCATATTTTCCCACGGACCCTCAGAAATTGTCAAATCACGATTCCGGGTCCGTTCCCCAAAATGTTGACCGAAGTCAAACTTGGCCTTTTTAAAGAAACTTAAAGAAGCAACTAGACTTATTCTTGCTCAAAACTCTTCTAAATTCCGAACCACCCGTCCCCGCAAGTCATAAATTAGCTAAAGCAAGTGCGGGAAGTCTTATTTAAGGGAACGGGGTTCAAAAATGTAAAACGACCGGTCGGGTCGTTACACTTTGGTTACGACGTGACTCTTTTACTATGACTTGAACTCTTATTTGATATGTTGTTATCTTTCAAAAAATATTTTTATTTTGAAATTCCAATTTCTAAAACTTTATATATATTGTAATAATGATTATTTTTAGAATACCCTATATATACAGATTTTTTGTTCTTTGAATCATTAAATGTTAAATTAGTTGATTGTTATTATATAACATTGCATATATTGTCTTAAAATTACTAAGTAGCTTTTTCTCGACACTAACCTCAATGGAAACTACTCAAATTGTATTTAAATTCAAATTTGAATATCATATCAGTTTGCTAGTTTTAGTGATTTTCTGAAAACGACACACAATATAAATTTAAAAAAAAAAAAATTCTAAGATATCCTTATCTTATAATCTATGTATTTGAGTTGAAAAGAAATATTTGAAATTGATGAGATCATCTTCCAAATTTTTATACTCAACAAAGATGAAACAGAAGAAGAAATTCGTTGTCATCTCTTATTTCTGATTTTTAGATTTTTCATACATTTTTCTATATATTTTTTTTAATCGTATTTTTTATGTCTTTCTTTCTTTTGTTACAAAAATTAATTTATTACGCTATAAAAGGATGAGTTTTAATAGAACTTGTCTACATATGAACTTTATTTATATTTTTTAGTCTTCGGTTGAAATTCTTTCATATTTTTCTTTTGGCTTTATCTAATCAACCTAAATAGGTGCTCACCCAACCACTTAAATTTAAAAAATTGAAGGATGTGTAATTTATATATAATCCATATATAATATGTGTATAATCGTGTGTTGTCGGTCTATCATCAATGTATATTAGCTTAAAAAGTAAACAATAAATCTGGGCAGATATTTATGTAAATATTCCATAAGATTTTGATTTCTTGATTTTATCCATGATATGACTTCTATTATAATAATTTTAAAACTCGCTACTAAAATTCAAAAATATCCTATTCTTTTATTTTTAAAATTACATTATATTTTAAAGAATAAT